ACAGATGACAGCCGCTCTACCGCCGCGAGTATCAGGGCTGGCGGCGTCCTCTTCCTCCCCAATCGAACGAGAACAATCTTGGGCGCCTCGGCCGAAGTCTTCTGCTGAACATAAATTACGGTCACGAAAACCATACCGAGTCAGGCTTCGGCATCTTCACATTCAATCTCGGAGTTCATTTTGTGATGGCATCGCTTTGCTGCGCGACGCGGCGGCCGCTCTTTGGGCGCGGAGGGAGGGAGGGAGGGAGGGAGGGAGGTAGGGAGGGAGGGAGGGAAGGAGGGAGTGGAGGGGAGGAGGAAGAAAGGGAGGGAGGGAGTGACGGAGGGAGGGAGGGAGGGAGTGACGGAGGGAGGGAGGGAGTGGAGGGAAGGAGGAAGAAAGGGAGGGAGGAAAAAGGGAGTGGAGGGAGGGAGTAAAGAAGGAGTTGAGGGAGGGAGTAAAGAGGGAGTGGAGGGAAGAAGGAAGGAAAAGAGGGAGTAGAGGGAAGGAGGAAGGAAAAGAGAAAGTAGAGGGACGGAAGAAGAAAGGGAGGGAGGGAGGGAAAGAGGGAAGGAGGGAGGGAAAGAGGGAGGAAAGGAAGGAGGAAGCAGGGATGGAGGGATGGCATAAAATAGGACGGGAGAGTGAAAGGAGGGAACATGGCATGTCGGAGATGGGAAGGGGAGAGGGAGCACGGGAGATGGAAAAAGCGAAAGGAAGGCGAGGAGAGGAAAAAAAAGAACTGGGAGAAGAGGGAGAGGGAGAGAGAGAGAGGGAGGGAGAGGGAGAGGGAGAGGGAGAGGGGAGAGAGAGGGGAGGGAGAGAGAGAGAGAGAGAGAGAGAGAGAGAGAGAGAGAGAGAGAGAGAGAGAGAGAGAGAGAGAGAGAGAGAGAGAGAGAGAGAAAGAGAGAGAAAGAGAGAGAGAGAGAGGGAGCGAGGGTGTGAGCGAGAGAGAGCTCAGGGGACAGGGTGGAGTATGTAGCCGGGGTGGAAGGCGCAGAGTATTTGAAGAAAGTCAACACGAAAGCACTAGAAAATGTGTTTATTTGGGAGTAAAGGCGCGAGACGAATGGCGATGTAAAAGGGAGCAAATTTCGCCGAGAACCTTCTTGATGGCCGAGAGTAAATAAAACTAAAAATATGACATATGATTTCCGTAATAGTGTAGTAATGCTACCATGAATTAAACCTCACACATCGGACTATAACTGGACAGTGTCCTCGGCCCCCACGCTCACCGCTGCCTGCGCCTCAGACACAAGAAATCGCTTTAACTTTTTTTTTTGTCATTTTAACACCCGCGATATAGAACGAAGCCGGTGTTCGGATCATCCAAACAATCCGAAATTTACGGCCCACATTTAAACAGACACGGTGAAAACTCTTAAAGGGAAGCGGAAGACCTGGGCAGCCCAGACCAACAGGTAACGACAATAACATTAAATAAGGCAACAACCACAACACGGCCTTGCCACGCCACTATGCAAAGAATTCCATATACGTTGACAAGGCTCGAAGGGGAGATATGGCATGGGGGGGGGGGGGGAGACGAGGGACACAGAGGGAAGGAAGGGGAGGGGAAGACGAGGGAGACAGAGAAGGGGGAGGAAGGGGGGGGGGGAGAACGACTCGCTCTGAAGGGAAATGCGAAACGCAAGAGGCACACACGGGGAGACAAGAGGGAGCAGGAGGGAAAAACTGCTTGCGCCATGGAACTAGAAACGGAATTCGTAAAAAAGAGGTAGAGAGTAAGTAAGGATAAAGAGAGAGGAATAGAGAGAGAAAAAAAGTAGCTGGCAATAACTGTAACGGGTGAAGCATAGGCACCATAATGTAAATGTTAAGACTGTGGAAAAAGAGAACGGTTCTAATATCCCAAGCCAAGAGTAAAGCACGAGGGGAAGCCCTTAGGAAGGCTTCGCGTAAAATATGGAGGAATGAAGGAAGGCAGGAAGAAAGGGATGAAGAAAGGGATGAAGAAAGGGATGAAGAAAGGGAGGAAGGAAGGAGGAAATGAAGGAAGGAGGAAATGAAGGAAGAAAGAAGGAAAAGAAGGAAGACAGGAGGGAACGAAGGAAGGAAAGAAGGAAACGGAGGAAGGAAAGAAGGAAACGAAGGAAGGAATAAAAAAAGGAAAGAAATAAACGAGATGCCCAAAAAAAACACGCTGGAGAAGCCTATGGAAAGCGTCTGAAGTGGAGGCGCTGGCTCGGGATTAGGATTAGGCGAGGCCGAAAGAGGGAAGGAAAGGCACACAGAAAAAAAGGAGAGAAAGAGGGTAGAGGTGAAGGAGAACGAGAAACCAAGTAAGGTTTAACTACAAGAGGCGAGATAAGGAACGAAGAGGGAAAAAAAGATAAAAGCAGAAAGAAGGGGGAAACTGAGGGGGGGGGGGGTGTAAAACAAAAGAAGCATAAAATCAAGTCAAAACGTTCATGAAGATGGAGATGTGACATTACTGGGTTAAGAGGCACGAACAGCTAAAGAGGGTGAGGGAGAGGAAGTGGAAAAGGAAGAGGAGGAGCAGCAGGAGGAGGAGGAGGAAGAAAGGGGAAGCGGTAGAGTAGGAGGGAAAGGAGGAAAGAGGGGTGGAGAAGGGATAAAGAAGAGAGGGGGGGGGCGGGTGGCAAGGCGAAGGAAAGGAGGGGAAAGAAAGGAGGGGAAGGAAAGGAGGGGAAGGAAAGTGAAGGTCAAGACTTTGAATCAGCGGGGAAACTGATACTGACCCTCAAGTATACCATAGAAAGCAGAAAAAAATAAAAACGAGAGAAAGAGAGAGAAAGAGAGAGAAAGAAAGAGAGAGAGAGAGAGAGAGAGAGAGAGAGAGAGAGAGAGAGAGAGAGAGAGAGAGAGAGAGAGGGGGGGGACGAGTAGGGGCAGGAGTGAGGGGAGGTGGGAGAGATGAGGCACAAGATATAGAGACGAGGACAGGGACACAGACAGAGAGGGATGAGAGCCGTGTAAAAAATAAAAAAGTGTGTTACATGAGCGAAGGAAAGAGTGTATATAAGTGTGTTGACCCTCCATAGCAGGAGCCTCGACCTGGATTTCCCCATGATTAATGAAGGACATTTCTACGACCTGGGGGGAAAATGGAAAGGGAAAGGCGAGGGGAATCCGTCTTCGAGGGGCTTCGCTGCCAGATCTGGATCCCCTCGCGAAGCTGCTGCACTCCAACACCAATACTCCCGTCGGATGAGGGGAGGCGTGGAGGAGGGGAGGCGTGGAGGAGGGGAGGAGGGAGGAGGGGAGGCGTGGAGGAGGGGAGGAGGGAGGAGGGAGGGAGGGAAGAGGGAAGAAGGGGAAGGAGAGAGGGAAGAGGGAAGAGGGGGAGGTGAGGGGTGGAAGGGGAAGAGGGGGAGGTGAGGGGTGGAAAGGGAAGTGGGGGAGGTGAGGGGAGGAGGGGGAAGGGGGGTAAGGGGGAGGAGGGGTAAGGGGGTAAGGGGGAGGGGGGAAGAGGTACTGGAGGAGGGGGGAGAGGCTGGGGTAAAAGGAAGGTAAAGGGAAGGGGAAGAGGAGGGAGAGGAGAGACAGATTAAGGTACGCAGGGAAATCAGCTCGAAAGAAGAGGGAAGTGGAATAGGCTACCGGAGAGAGACGGGAAAGAAGAATTAAAAGAATGAAGCGTGAAATGCGTGCGTCAGCGTGCGTGAACGATGCGGGTAGCGAGCGGGCGCGGCGACGGAGATAATGAGGCCCGGTATCTGGTGTCACAGCCCCTCGGGATGCTGCGGGGGTCAGGTAGGACGCGGCCGAGGTGCAATAATTAGTGCGCTGCTACAAATGATGCCACTTAACGGGAAGCCGCTTGCTCGCGCCCCTCGCCCCCCACCCCCTCTCTTTCTCAACCATCCCTCACCCCATGCCCGCCCGCCCTCCTCTCCTTCCCCATACACGCAGGTGAATGGAGTGGCAACGCAAGACTCCGCGAGCAGTGGGCGGCGGCGCGTGAAAATCCCCAGCGTGGAATGGCACTGCTCGCCGCCCGCCGAATCTCCCGCACAAAACGAATGGCAGCACTTCATAACAGCCCCACTCAGCCCCGAGCCCACTCCATTACGGCCACTTCGCCCCCGCCGCCCCTCCCCCCCGCGCCTCGATGCTCACTCCTTCGCCGGCCTCCCCCCCCCCCTCCCTCCCCAGCACCCTTCTTCCCTCAATGCATCCTACTCCACCCCACTCGCTCCTCCCCAACTTTCTTTACAATTCCCCCTCACGGTCCCCACCCCCTTTTTCTTGACTTCCTTACGCCAGCCAATCCTCCTATCCCGTTTCGACCCCCCCCCCTGCCCCCTCAGTGATGACGACGGCGGTGGTGAGGGTGGAAGTGGTGACGGAAATGGTTGTGGTGACGCGGGATCCATTAGCAGGACAAGGGTGGCGGCGCGTGTGCTCAATATCTCAACGTCGGGGGGGAAAGCCACCTCCCCACTCCCCCCCCTTCCCCTCGCCCGCCGCCGCCTTTGTGCCGCCGCCCGGGAAGAATATGAAGTAAGTCATTAAGCGTCTTGGCTGGGTTTTATCATTGGCGGACGCCATTTCTCCCCGTCGCCAGCGAAGACATCCATCCGTGGCGCGTAAATCGTATTTCGGATCGGGTCGGGTCGAGCTGGGTCGGATCAGGGTCGGGGCGCAGCGATAGCAGTTCTCCCGATCTCTGCTATTCGACGTCTTTGATGATTCTAGCGTTCTTAGCTCAGGCTTAGGAGAGCTTGATATAAAACAAGACCTTGTAAAAAGTACCCTCATGTATATCGCCACTTCGTATTTACTATCTCCTAATAGTAACTCAAGTGCACAAATGATCATGCAAGTGGAAGCTGCCATTTATTTCATCTGACCTTTCGATTTTCTCCGCTTAAACATCTTATCTCAGTGCCATTAGATTTCAGCACAGTCTGCCGCCCGCATCTGATCTTTTCTTTGAATGGGGAAGCTAGATAAATGGGTTCCTTCCCTCCCTTTTAACCTACACCTGATAACAGCAGTCCAAAACCCGGAAGTATACAACAACTTACCTGTTCGTATTTCTCGAGCTCTTGGTGGTATATCTGTCTGATCTGGGAGAGCTTAGCGCGGTAATCTGAATGCTCGATGGCGTTATCTCCGGCACCTGCTGCAGCCGAGGCGTTTGCTGCGGCTCCCGCCCCTCCGCCCTTCTCGGGGCCCGCCACACCCTCAGCGATCAACATGTTGTCCAGGCGCATCAACTGTGGGTCCGGGGGCTCTTCCTCCTGAGTGTTCCGCAGCGACAACACTGAAAAGACAAAAGAGAAATATTATTTTCATGGACAAAACTGATCTGACGGCCTAGGATATAAGGCTCGGCACCACCACCATTCTGCGGGTTGAGAGCAGAGTGAGGGCCCTATATGCAACCCCAATAGCCACACAGGTGGCCTCGGGGTGGAGCTCAAATATGAGGAAAAGATGCAAATACCGACTGCGGAGGCAGTTGCTTAGAAACAAGGCAGGACAGGAAGCAATGATTTTCAGAGTCAAGTACAGGTAAGGTATGGGCGAATGCAGGAGAGGAAGGAGGGGAAGGAGGGGGAGATAGGGGGGGGGGGGCTAGGAGAGGAAGGGAGGAGTCTGGTAAGAGCATGGCGGCCGTACATCAGTGTGACAAATGAGACAGGTAATAGCCCCTCTTTAGTTCACTGTTTAATCAGCAAGTCCAGAAGTTGGGTATACCAGCGATTATTGTGATAATAAATATGAGGCTGCTGTGTAACCTTCCGCAGGTATAACTCACTCCTTCCACACAAATCTGTTCCCCGACACATATTCACACTTATAACTGAATCCAGGAACATATATTTGGTCAACGGGAGGTGGAAGGGGTGGACAGGAAGAGAGAGGAGGAGGGAGGGGAAGAGGAGGGAGGAAGAGAGAAATATGAATGGATGGATGGATGCATAGGACGTGTGGGAGGGAGGGAAGGAGGGAAGGAGGGAGGGAGAGGGAGGAGAGAGAGGGAGAGAAGGAGAGGAGGGAGAGAGGGAGAGGGAGGGAGGAGAGAGAGAGAGAGAGAGAGAGAGAGAGAGAGAGAGAGAGAGAGAGAGAGAGAGAGAGAGAGAGAGAGAGAGAGAGAGAGAGAGAGAGAGAGAAGGGGGGGGGGGGATGATATGAAGCTTGGAAAAAATACTGAGAGACAGAGGGAATCAAGACGATCACCTCCAGTGAGTATGGGCAGCACGGCAATGCCCCGGGGAGGCATGAAGCAATGGCGAGGAGACGAGGGGATGGCGTGAACACTACGATAATTAACTGTGTTCTTAATGCGTCCGGCGAGTCACAGTGAAGCATAGGGGGGAGAAAAGGGAGGGGAGGGGGAGAGCGCGTGTACAACAAACCAGCAAGCTTGATGGACAAAAGCTAACATAACATTGGCGGTGTGACCTTCGCGAACTTTACGATACAAACTCCCTCCAAACGAGAGAAACTTCAGCTTACTTCCGATGACTGGGAAGCGTATATCTTGACCACGGGGCGTGGGCAGAGTAGCTTATTTATACACGTTATACAACAACCACGCAACCACGACTAGCAACTCCCGCCAAGGGACAAGAACCACCATCATCGGGGGGCATAGAGCGGGGGTTCGTGAGGGGGAGGGGGGAGGTTACAAGAACTCCTGTGGGTGTCGTACAGTCTTCCCCCTCCCCCCTCTCCCCTGCAGAGTTCCCACGACGGCAGCCCCAGACCGTGGACAAGTGAAGAATGACTCCATGACACGCTAGCCTTACGCTAACTCACACACCTGCCACTCCTCCCTCTACATCAATGTTTCACTCTTAACCTTTCACTCTAGCTTCCATCCCGACACTGCAAATGCGCTGCATCATACACTTAACCACCCTGTGTCTTACCCTTGCTATACTCAGAGACCCTCATCAATGCTTTAATCTGATGTTGCATCCCAGACGTACCCTAGTGCGTCGGCCCTTTTCTTTCGACTCCGGCTGTATGCTAATGATTCCTTCTCCTCCTCGCTGTTTTCGTCCTGTTCTACACTAGTCCTCCACTCGCGCTGTACTTAAACGTCACTTGCAGCAAAATACCCGACTTACGGATGCGGAGACTTTGTTCGAAATGGAAAATGAGTCTAACGGGTATGCAGGCTGCATAATAACGGCATCGGAGGGCACTTGGCCGGAGCAACGTAGGAACAGAGTCGGCAAGGTGGGGCGAGTGGAGTGAAGGGGCCGAGAGGTCAGGTGCAAGGCCCGGCCGTCCGTTTGGGGCACAGGGAAGGTGAGGGGGTATGGGGGGTGGAGGGGGAGAGGAGGGGGAGAGGAGGAGGAGGAGGAGGATGAATAAAAGGAGGAGGAAAAGGAAGAATAAAAGGAGGAGGAAAAGGATGAATAAAAGGAGGAGAAAGAGGATAAGTAAAAACAAAAGGAAAAGGAGGAGGGAGAAGAGAAAAAGAAGCAAAGGAAAAAAACGAGCGAGCGTCGTGCAGGCTAGGGAGAGTAATCCAAGGTAAGGGACAAAGCTCGAGGGCGAGGAAGTCTGGCGAAGGGAGCCTCCCCTCCCCGGTTAATAAGTTTAATAAGGCCACAGTGACTGCGGGCGGGTAAATTAAAGGTCCTGAGACGCGCGTTGCAACGTATTGGAGACATGCACCCCCCCACCTGGAGGGATCAGGTCGGCACGCACGGGAACTCGGACATTATCTCGCCGCACTGCTGCCGTCATGCATCTGCTTCGCTGCTGCTGCATTCTTGCACTGTCTGGGTCACTGCTAGCATTTTTCGCTGCACTGCTGAAATGCCTTCGTCTGCTTCATTGTTGCAAATATCGGTTATCTTATGCTTACTACTTCCCTTTATTTTCACTACAAATGTTTGAATATATCATCCGCGTATAACGTGGCACTGTTCTGTTCTTCAACGTCGACCATAAATTAAATGTGTGATTTTTTTGTTCCGTACGCCCTATGAATTATTCCACAAAGGGACTTCCTGGAGTATATACATCCTTAATGACTTACGTGTCAGTGACAATTGCTCTGGCCACAAAGCAAAGCAGAAGAAAAAAAACAGGAAGAAAGAAAAAGAGAAAACACACACGCGAAAAAAAATGGTGACACGCCACCTATTCCGCTCGGGTTATATGGCGGTTATGCCCTTCTGGATCTCCCATTCTCTCACGTGGGCCCATAAATACCATCATCCTTTCATTACCCGGGAGGCGGATATCAAGGGGAATGAGGCATGACAGATTGATCCCAACATATCATTCCATCGGCCCCGAGGGCTCCCCGGAGTACCTTGCAGCTTTTGTTTTCCCGGCAACCGACGTCGGCGAGGAAGTGCCATGGCGTTGGGGCTTCTTTCGCTCCGTTCATCGCCTCCGCTCAGCAACTGGGAAGGGCGACGGTTTTCATTTGGTCATTTCACTGCATTAAAGACACTGATATGACCAATGGGGGTTAGTCTAGACTTTACTGCTGATGGGACTTAAAGCCTTTTTCGATGTCGCTGTGAAATCACTCCAATACCTGCTGACATCGGTCTGCTATCAGAGACACGCGGGGACGGGTTCAGAGTAACGAACCAACTACCATTTTTAAAAAAGTCCTCTTCAAGCTCCTACACTTCCAATGCCTGCAGGGGCGACATCGCACGCCACATTCTGTAAAGTAAGATCTAGTTTACCGTTAGCAGTGCCGTGCACGAGAGCCTTCGGGCGCATGTGGGTTATCACTCTCTACCCCCGCAAGAATGAGAGCGTGGCAGTTTTGACAGGCGGGGTATGATTTCCATCTTTCATATAACCCGGTCACGGAAACTGATGGTTATACCGGGAGCGGCAGCCACAGAGTGTCGGGGGGACCTCGCTATGCCGGCACAGGGCACTGGGCGACCACGAAATGCGCGTGCGGGCAGGCCGACCGGGGTATTAGATCAAGCATGATTGTTGAAACCCGGAATGGGAATCGAGGATGACATTCCAGGGCCGGCGGGGGCGAGCGACACCAGGGAGGCCTGATTGCTGGCTGCCCTCACTCTGCTGACCACAACTTTCCTGTCATCGCAGAATCCATCACACATGAAGGGCACAACCCATTATACAAAAAACCGGCTAAGAACAATCAGCCACACGCGAGCTTTCATGTCTTCCTCTGGACTGATATTGCAGCTGGCAACAGAGTAGGAGGCCGAGAGAGGGGGAAACAAGAGTGCGAGGGCTAGTCAGGGGTCAAAGCACCGGGCTGGAGGAAATGCTCACAAGGCGAGCGCGAGCAGCACCCAGCACGTGACCACTCCGAGCGACGCACACCAGCACGCCCTAAGGTTTCCACCTGGAGAGGGAGTTCGGGGGGGGGGGGGGGATAAAGGGGGGTGCAACCAATACGCTCCCTCGCTATTCACAGACGACTCCTACATCTCATGCTTATCTTCAATTTATATGAAAATGTGAGCGTAAAAAGTACACAGTGAAAACTCCCCTCCCTCTCTGCGGCGCAAAATGGGAGGCTCTTTGGCACTGTAATAATGGATCTGACATGTGCATGCAACTTACTCACCCTCTGTATTACATTGGGGTGTGTACTATCAAGCACTGCTTCTTGCCTCCTTTCCTCACGCTGCTGCGTGTACCCTTACATTCAGTAAAAATACCACCCTTCCACTCATTCCACGTTCCGAAATTCATAGTTTGTCTTGCCAGGAACAAACACCCCTCCTCCCACTGCACGAGAGTAAAAAAAGGCAAGACAGAAGAATCCAAAAACGGCAGCATGAACCGAGCGCGGCGGAGTGGGACAGCATGATGGCGCGAGGTTTACAGCGCGGTGTGGATAAATCCCTCATTGTCCAGCTGCGTAAATCACAATAATGTAAGTGGCTTCCCATTACCCCCTGTGGCGGCCCTAACTCACCCGCCGAACCCAGCCTCATCAACACACAAACAAATACTCCGCCCGCAATCACACGCTCAAAATAAGCTTTTTACGACGGATATACGACGCTGATAATTATTGATACTTCCATCGCCACGTTTGGCTGGAAGGGGGCGGGTGGGGCGCGTTTTTAATATTCTCTCATGAATCTGTCAGAGCAGGGATTCTGCGAGCCACTGTGTCTGTCTGTGCGGAAGACTGGCAATTTGGTAAAAGGATGTAAATAAAAGTATAAATATGTATAGGAGAGGGGGAGGAGGAGAGCAGACAGACAAAGCAGACGAGTCCTACCGCGGTCTACAACGAGCCTGAGCA